GCCAAGGCAAGTCTTAGTGAAAATCAGTTAATTTTGTCTTCACCTAATCCATCTTTAACAGTTCCCACTGAAAGGCATATAATGGTTTAAGATAGGAATTATTATTTATTTATTTTTTTGTCTTGGCTGTTCCTGAAGATGAACTTCACCCTTTGGATTGCAGGTAGGTTCTTGTGGTGTGTTTTGAATGACTTACAATCGCTCTGAACTCTGTCCGTATTTTACAAATCGGGCTATTTAAGGAGTCCTGAAAGGAAGAAATGCCCTGTCGGACCAGAACAGGCCTGGCAGACCCAGTACTGCCTATCTGTCCGATCCCAGACATAGTGAAACAGTATGTGAAATATTCCCAGTTCTTTGTAAACTTCTCAAACACCTTGCTATAACAAAGGATTTCAACGTTAAGTGGCAATTTGTGAACACAGCTACACTCAACAATGATTTCTTAAGAACTGGTTGGGCTATTGTTAGTTATAGTGTGGGTGGTATTTTTTCTTGTCAAAGGAAATGCGGATTATCTTAGTAATTATCTGAGATATTTTTGACACTCCTCTACAAGCTATAAAAATCATGGATTTAATTTATAGATAGCAAATTCAGATTGCCCTGTGCTGTTTTGTGTATGGAACTTCTGTGTCTTGGTGCAAGTACAGGCCTAAACAAGTACATTTTGAGGGGGGAAAAGAAAAAGAGATATTCAGATAATAAAGGCTTATGGAGGTAGTGGAAAAGTATGCAGTCAGGTAAATAGGAGACAAGGATAAGAATAGAGTTTTGGCAAATGAAGAAATCCAGATAATATCTGAGCAGTTTACTTTTTTCAATTTTGTAGACATCTGGAAGAAAAGTCACAGGAGCTGTCCAAGTTACCATGGTATCAGATCTAGGTATTTCTAAATTTCAGTCATGTAATTTCAACTAGCCCTTTAATTAGACGTCAGGGTTGTTGAGTGTGTAGTGCCAGCATCGCTCCTGAGCAGCGCATCACGAAGCCGCGCGGCCCCTCGGCGGCATCTCCTTGGTTGTGCCTTGTGCCTGCCCGGCACGTGGGCAGCTTCTCTGGCCGCCAGCTCACATGGTTGGATCTGCTCTGCTGGGCTCTTTGCTTCTTTCATTTAACCTGAATTTTCCTTGAGTGAAATGGATGCAATAATCTTTAAATATGTAATAGAATAAAACTATCGTAATACTAACTATATTATCATCTTCAAAGACTTACAGACTATTTTATACTGTTCATTAGAAGTAGGTGAGCACTTGCTTCCTATGGACACTGTATAGCTTGCTTCATTATTAATTGTTGATTTGAGTTTCTGGATCAGAAAGCACTGTATTAATATTGATTATCAAATAGCTACTCAAGGAATAATAAAACAGAGTGTATTAGAACTCGTGTTCTTTGGGATTTGCTGCATTCTTACAAGTTTTTGAAAGCCTCTTGCACTAGGCCCGTCCACCTTTCCAGGTGCAGATGAGTCAGTAAAGCTCACTTTGAAGCTTAGACATTTCCAGGTGCTAAAAGCAGCTTCTTCATGCATCCATCTGCCAGGTACGAAATCAGCTGAGGACGTATCAACTGATGCAAGGGCTGGGGAGAGGGGAAGCAAGGCCCGAGACACGAGCAGAGATGTGGGATGCTTCGTGGGCAGAGCGGTCAGCGGCGGTAATTAAACACCGAGGTCTCGTGCCAAGTTGGATGTGTCCTGCAGGTCATCAGGTGTCACTCGCATCCCCTGCTATTTCTGTCAGCCCGGTGCAGATGTCCCGGACATCCTTGGGCAGCTGAAGCGACACCAGACACCGATGCTGGGCACCGAAGGGCTCTGGCTGCCACCTTGACGCTAACGGTGGTGGCGGCCAGCGAGGGAGGATGGGGCTGGGGCGCAGCCTCAGCGGGAGCTCGGGGGAAGA